CCATTGTTGTTGTCACCCAAGCGCGCTTTGGTGACGTGGTTGATTACGTTACTGTTGATCATCTGTCCATCATCGTATAAAGCCCGCCCTGACAATTTGATTGGCCCGCCAGATATTGGGCAAGCATACTCGCGCTGCTATTGAGCAATGCCAGACCGAACTTCCCGACCTCAAACGTTGTGGGCGGGACTAAGTTCGGAATGGCACCCAGGCTAACTTAGAGCAGCAATTATACCAAAATTGTAAAAAAAATATATATATTTAAAATACATTTAAGATTAAAAAAAATGTTTTTATCGGTCAATATGCTCTATCCAGAACTCCTCAAGTAGAAAAGTTCTAGTTTCATCTGGTTTAATTTTGTATAAAAATCTTCTTTAAGGAAGATTATCCGATTATTAATCGATTAATCGAAAAAATAATCGACATATTAATCGATTTGCAAAATAGTCGTTAGTTGCAGCCCTAATTGAAAAACCGTTTTAGCATCTATAGATGCCTATTAACAAGACCGGTCACCTCTGTGAGCCGTTCTGAGAACGCAGTTATCTGTGCTCTACGTTCTGTTTGTCATAAAGAGCTGAAATGGAGAGTTCAGGCTTCCCAATCCTTGAAATGACTTCAAGGAAAATTTTGTTTTTTTTTTATGCGCGTCGAGCAGCAAAAGTTTAGATTTTCTGACTCCAGCTTTGGACGATGGGCAGTTGAAAGTTAATGGAGCAGTCGGGTCATATTCAGAATTCAAACTGCTGAAAGTAGTTTTAATATTAAACTATTACATACTGTTCAATGTATGATAAGTGTTTTTAATTTAGAGTAATTTTTATTTGAATTTGCTTTACTGGAGGCATCCATGTTTGTCAAAGAACACTACTGCCACCTACCGGTTTGTGACGTCACGGTGCGGTATCGGCTGTTGATCAAGTCCCAGTGCTGTATCTGGTGTTTGTCACAACGCGCTATTATCCAAGTCATCTTGAAAACATTCTTCTTCCAAATGTTGGCTACATATTACGGGTTTTTCTCTGGCCAGAAGTTCGATGACAAATCCTCCCTCTTCAAGTTGGCGATCCAATGACCAACCCGTCTGGGTTGGATCGTGAATCAGAAAGGTGAAATAACAAATTTTTTCTTAACTTTTACCCGATGTATTCCAACATCCAACTGCCATGCATGTGGACATTGTCAGTTCTGGTGAATTTCAATGGCGAAGTTCTCTGGAAATCTTAAATAACTGTTGTTGATTTCAGATGTGACTAGTAGTTCCCATTGATTTTGTAAAAACTATGTCATGCCCAACGCTTCAAAATGCATCATGGAGTGCGGTTTCTTTCTGAATACTAACAGATTTTAGTTAATTTTTCACATCTTTACTTCTTCTCATCTTTTTAATACATATTCTAGGAATCTGTGGTTTGAGATAATATGGAGACTTCTAAAACGCTGAGTAACAATTGACTGAGTTTTTAGCTTAATCTAAGATACCTTAAAGCAGGGGTCTTCAACGTTTTCCAGCCAAATGACCCCCAAACTGATGGTGAGCTGAAGCGGGGACCCCCTAATTATATAAATTGTATGAAATGATGTTCTTTCAAACTGGTCCTACAGTCAGTGTATTACAGATGGAGTAATGTAACTAAAGTAATTCCTCCCTGGGATTATTAAAGTATTTCTGGTTCCTTGTTGATGGGACAGGTGTTGTGAATGAAACGGTGCCCAGCTTGAAAGAGCTCCTGTGTGTCGCTGAATGTGTGCATTGATGACTGAAAGACATCTTCTGCCTCCATTTATCTATTTACTACAGTCTGTTGAATTCATGTTAATGTGGATTTAAAGACATTTCAATAAGTCGAAAAAATTACAAAATTATAAAAAAAAAGGTCTAATCAACCACAACTTTTGCGACCCCCATGCAGTACCACCGTGGACCCCCTGTTGAAGACTTCTGCCTTAAAGGAATGTTTTAGGTCTGTAACATGTGAGGGCTGGATTCATCACCAAATAAGTCATGTGACCCAGAGCATTGCTTAACTGCAGTATAAGCTAGAGGTGTAAATCACATCCATCATGGCGATTCGATTCAGTATCGATTTCCTGACCCAACGATTTGATTATTTTCGATACTCAAGAATACACCACGATTCGATTAATCTGCAATTTTTTTTTTTTTTTTTTATACTCTTTTTTTTTACACCTTACAGGCTAAACAAACTTTCAAGTTTGAAATAAATCAATGAAAGCTGTAATATCGTTATGCATTTTTTTTAGAAACAACAGCAAATAACAGAAGTAGAAACGTTGCATTAAAAAATTCTGCAATAATACTGCACATAATCAGTGCAATGAGTGCAATGCAATACCTCGGCTCCAGACGGCCCCGCCCCCTCCACAGACGTTCCGCTGCTCCTCTCCCAAATCGTAGCTGACTGCAGACAGTGCCGCAGACAGGAGGCCAGCTTGTTTTGTTTTTATGACCGAAATTGCGGAAAACAATTGTTGAAGTTTGACTCTCTAGAAGAGCGAGGTGCTCGAGAACGATGGGACCCTTTTTCCACCTGGATCTCCGCTCTTTTTGGCCCTCATGTCCCTCCGTCGTTTGACTAAACTCGCCCCCACTTCCTCGCTGCCTCGGCCCGTATCTAGACCCACAGTGTCTAGCACAGACCACGGTTCAATATTGAGCATAATTTAAAAATGTCTGTGTCAAGCTCACTGCAACACACTGCTGCAGGAGGATAACCAGGAAGCGAGGTAGGAGGGCAAAATAGGTTTAGCGCCACCGCAGCACGGGAGGGAGAATTACGCCCAGGAGCAAAATGGATAAAAGTAGACCGGAGGGGAAAAAAACATGAATCGATGCTCTTGCGGACGTTTCGATGCATCGGATCGTCGGCTGTTGGATCGATGCATCGATACAAAACGTTTATTATTTACACTCCTAGTATAAGCTCCCCTCGATGTATTATTGGGTCTTGTGATACAATGTTAATGATTTTTTTTTTTGAGTATATCCAGTACCAGCCTGGATAACTCTTACTCTGAAGCCTCATTTTCATTCTTTCATTTGTCATTATTAGTGTCAGTGATGTGCGTTGATCTAAAGAGTATTTTTAAGTCAGATATATTTCTCTGTGTCATCCTCTGTATAAAAGGTTCTGCTTTGAAGAGATTCTAGGGGTCTGTCAGGTGCTGCTTCTCTTATCTGCAGATATTTGAAGATCTTTTCTCAGAGGAGTGTGAAGTCCACAATAAAACCTGGAGCTTTTATCACTAGAGCTGTTAAGGATCATGAATTGATGTCTGTGACACTGACTGCAGCATAAAACTTAGAGAAGATTAATTTATTTTAACCTTGAAAAGGCGTAAAGAAGATCTTGTCATGAAGTGACCCCTTAGAAAGATGGCCATAAAGTTTTTTTTTTTTTTTACATAGGTTTAAAATCTGGCGTCACACCTTTAAGAGAAAATGAAGTCATTTTTTCCGCATATTTTATTAATTTAACCACATTTTCAATATTTTTCTTTGTGTTTCAGACTATTTACTTTTAAGACTCTAGATGAAGTTATTTTATTTAACTCCAGGTCCATTTATACCCTTGAACCCCATGTTTTCCCAGTCAAGGCTACTTCATTTACCTGTAAACCAACAATTTCTTACCTTTGTACGTAACTAAGGTTGTTTAAAAGTATATTTTCATGTGTACTGCAGACTGTGCAGATATTGGAAACATACTTGGAATCACTGGTTGTTACAGAAGGTACCAAATGTCCACAGGTCCGACCTGAACAAATGATTAAAATCATTGGAAAACCGATTTAAAGGAGATTTAAAACCGATTTAAAGGAGATAAATTATGAATAATTTGCACCTTTTCTAGGTTAGCATGGTTTCCTAATAAGATGTTAGCAAAATAGACATGAACAGCTGTGCACATTTAGCAAAGGGAAAATAAAGGGAACTGTAAACGTTAAAGTAGTACTAGGTGGGCTTTTTCTAATTGTGTAAGATTAGTGTCTATGCAGCATGTCATAGCAGAAGGAAAAAAGGGTTTTCCAAAGTTTAATAAGATTAATCTGTGGATTCTAAGGCGTGTTACAGTGTCAGAACTGCTGGGTTTTTCCATTTTTAATCCTTTTTTAACTACGACTGTGATCAAGCAAATTAATCACTTCATCAGAATCACCCTACAGTTTATCCAATAAATCTTTGTCAGTTTTCTCTGTTCAATAAATGCAAAAGTTTGGGTGAGTTCCTTTGTAGGTTTAATAAACCTGAAAACATAACAAGCTGTATTTTCATTCTGTTCTAATAAAGCAAATTCATGAAATATATAACAGTTTTCTTCTAATAAATGTTTATAAAAATCCTAGACATTTATTAAAGTAGAGTTTAAATGGGTTTATGTACTTCGATGAGACTCACAAAGCTGGTTTTTGATGTTTTATTATAATTAGGAATTTATTTTGAACTGTTGGGAAAACATCAATGCATGTTTGTTGTTACTTTGAGGATGTAATGAAAGGGTTTTGTTTCTCAGCTTGGCAACTGAATTAAAAGATCTAGTAATTTGATTATTAAAGAACAGAGGGCGGTATGTTTTGTTTAAAGCGATTTGTTTCAGTAAAATGAAACCAGGGATGCAGAGTATGCAAAGAAAAACATCAGTATTGGTGATGATGTCAGCCTTTTATCTGCATTTTGGGGATTTGTTTGATTACGGGAGTAAAGCAATATTAGTAGAGTGGTGTTTTCTTTCACAGAGGCTGAAAAAAAAAATCTAGACGTTTGATATTATTTATTGACAATGAAGTGATATTGACATCTGATCAATATCAAAGTTCATATCTTGGTGTATTTCTAGAAACCGCATTACGTTTCCTTATTGTTTGTCCAACACAGGTGCTTTAAAACCGAAGAGATATGTTTTCTGATTATGTCAAAGAATAATCTGTGATCTAGAAGTCAGCGCATTGGATTGTGTTTTTGTTTCATTCTGTAGCACGGAGCTTCTCAGGAGGACTTCATCCGCGGCAGCCGGGAGAAGAATGTGCGGGACGTTGTGTACGACATCGCCAGTCAGGCTCACGTCCACCTGGAACACGTAGGTGCTGCACATACACAGTATAATAGACATTGTATTCTAGTTGTTGTCTAAACCTTTTTAAATATATCAAATATTCCGGTCTTATTATTAAACAGAATTGGAAATGGGGCAGATTAGGTTATTACCAGCAAAGAAAATGTGAATCTATTTGAAAAAAACTGTTTTCGTTTTACAGAGGCAAATACATTTTTTTTTAACTCAGAGAAAATCAACCAAATGCAATAGCTACTGGAATAATAAGTTGGAGGGATTTTAAATCACCCACAAATAGAATCAGGGAGCTGTTTTTTTTTTTTTTTTTTTATAAAAATCAACTCAAGCCAGTTTATGAGAAAAAAAAAAAGCATTAAAATAAGGCTAACATAAACAGAGTAATTTATATGAAAGTGAAATGAAAGGGTAGATTTCAAACTCTCAACAGATTATATAAGGGAAATATTATCTGGAGGCGGCCAATCCAAACCAGCACAGGTTCGGCTACACAAAGACATTAAATTAGAAGATTGTTTTGTTTTTTGTTGCCAGGATCGACGGAGCACAATTAGAAGTTTAATCCCAAATCTGCTGCCAGTGCCAGACTAAACTAAGCAGAGCTCTAGACAGCTCTGGTTTACAGCAATATAACCAGGGGAGTAGACAGAAAAAACCCAATCAAACATGCTTCTGTGTGCAGCGGACACTTCTTTCCAGGTCAATTATGGGGAATAAAATATTGACGTTCATTGGTACGGATTCTGGTCTGCTTAAGTAACGTTTCTCACCCAGCTTAGCAAGTGCAGTTTGTTGTCAAAACATAGTTTTTTCTTTTGTTTACAAATACCCCAGTCAGCTACATGGATGTTTCCTGGCTTTGGTGCAACTAAATAGAACTTTGGATGACCTTCTGTTTTCCGGTTAGCGTCTTCCAAGGACCCAGTTAACCTAGACTAGATGCGTGCAAAATAGCCATTAAAAATAAAAAATCATATCAAATTTATAGTCCCCACACTGCAAATATATTAGAATCTATCCTTAAATTACAGCCAAACCCATTTACACTGATTGTTCTACATGTGCTGTGCAGGAAAAGCTATGTACTCCTTTCCTGAATGTTGAACACAGATGAAAAATTGGTAACATTCTGCTCTCCCAGTGTAGGTGCAGACATTTTATTTCATTATTCTTCCACCTTGGTAGACATTTAAATTCTCCTTTCAGTTCAGTGTTGGCTGCATCGTTAGATGCATAAAAAATAGTATATTCAACCATACTTATATAATTTCACTCATTAAAATGTAGAGTTAATATATAATAAAACATAAATAATTTGAATTCATGTCCTAACTATTTTTGTTTGTTTATATCTGTGCCTGTGGCTGTGAAATAATAGGGTTTTGTTTTTCTACCTGTCGCTGCACACAGACCCTCGTTGGTTAGTTATAGTTGCTAAAACAGTACAGACCAAAAATCATATACATGAATGTATGCATCTCTGGAGGTTTCCTGTCATCTGACAGCTGCCATCTAATTATAAATATAGAACATGTAATTAATTTACTTAGCATTTATGTTCAACACTTCGGTGGAGATGTACAATTAGCCTGCTCTGCCTGTCACCTTATGACAGAGCAGTTGAATGCTGCTGTAGCTCTAAAAGGGTTTTTCTTAGTAAAACACAAAACCCTTTGCTGTTGACATTTTCAGCAAAGAAAATCCGCATTATTTTTTTCAAGATGCAAATTCTCTCACCAGTCATTTCACAGTTTGCTGGATGCTAAAGCTTTGGCTTTGTCCAGAGACCAGATGCAGTCAACATTCACACACACGAACGTTTGTTTCTCTCAACTCTTGAACTTGTTTTAACTCCCTTGAGCAGCAGTGTCTGGTTTGCTGTTTTTGAAATGAACATCACTGGTCACTAAAACTTTGGCATCTGCAACACAGAGGATTCAAAATGTCCTGCAAATGTCTTTTGCTTGCTGAGAGTCTGCAGCTAAATTGGTTAGAGGATTTTTGGGTTGATTAAATCTAATTAGATCAATGATATGCTCAGCATGTTATAATCTCATTCTCCATTACATTTACATCCCTTGGTTAAATCTCGATCTGTTGTAACAGCAGTCCTTTTCTCCCTCCAACAGAGCCGTGTGTTAAACCGCTCTGCAAACACCTCCTTGTAACGGCTTGAAAAACACTATTAGGATCCCCAAATCCCAAATCCAATTGTGAAAGTGTCAAAACATCTTTGAGCCATAAAAAGGCCAAACCTGTAACTGACAGGACTCAGAGGATCTGTTTTTAACTTCCTAAATTCGTCCTCCAATATATACACCCATGGGTCCAGATTCTTAACCTGACTCTGCCAGATGGATTTGCTCCACATATCCATTTGGAAACCTT